TCTAAAGTAAATAGTGATTTAGGTCCATTTGAATGCTTCGTGATGACCCTAATGCATCTTAAGCTAAACCTTCCTGTGCAAGATTTAGCTTTTCGATTCCAAACATCTACCTCAACTGTCTCCAGGACATTTGTGATTGTCATCCATGTTTTATATACACGTCTAAAGAATCTGCTGTACTGGCCTGAGCGGGATGTATTGATGAAAACTATGCCCCTGAAATTTAAAAAACATTTTGGACAAAAAACAGCTGTTATAGTTGACTGCTTTGAAGTGTTTATTGAAAGGCCTAAAAACGTGTTGGCACATGCACAGACGTGGTCAAACTATAAGCGTTCTAACACTGTGAAGTTCTTAATGGGTATCACCCCGCAGGGTTCAGTGTGTTTTCTGTCCAAATCATGGGGCGGCAGGGCAAGTGACAAGTGTATAATTGAAAACTGTGGTTTGTTGTTGAAACTACTTCCAGGTGACCTCATTCTAGCAGATCATGGTTTCAACATACAGGATAGTGTGGAATCATACTGTGCACAGGTCAACATTCCAAGTTTCAGCAGCGGTAAAGCACAACTATCTGCAGTCGACGTGGAAACCACAAGGAATGTTACACACGCTCATACACCTGCCGAACGGCTCAGTGGACTTGTGAGAAACAAATACACGATGCTTCAAGCACGTCTGCCAGTAGACTACCTAATCAAACATGACGGCTTGCCAGTGGTGGACAAAATTGTGACTGTCGCATGTGCACTTACCAACTTGTGTGACTCTGTAGTCTCACTGATTTGAGCAAAAAGTGGGAATTGACTCTACTGAGTAATGTTTGCATTGGTGCAAATTATGACATAAGAATGTGAAGAAACAATCCACATCTCTGGAAGACCAGAGCACCAAAGTTGTTACATGTTCTGCTGTGTAAGATGTGTGTAAATGTGTTTGTGTTTATTCTGTTCCCCAATTTTTTATAAGTTGCATGTAGAAGTCGTTTTGATTAAAAGGTAAATGAGAAATAATTCTCATATTGTATTAAATTTCAACTGTTTTGAATTCCTAATTAGAGGCTTTTACTTTGAACTTTATCAGTCCCACCACTGAACAGGAACCCTACACCAACTAACATATTTCATGTTTTATACATGTCATTAAAACACTAAATTGGTAAGTATGAACATGAAAAGTATGAGCATGTGCAGCGTTCAATACTTAGTTGTTGCTCCTTTGGCCTGGATTACTGCAGCAACACGGCGTGGCATGGAGTCGATCAGTCTGTGGCACTGCTCAGATGTTATGAGAGCCCACGTTGCTCTGACTTGCCTTCAGCAATTCTGAATTATTGGGTCTGGTGTATCGCATCTTCCTCTTCACAATACCCATAGACTTTTTTTATGGGGTTAAGGTCAGATGAGTTTGCTGGCCAATTAAGAACAGTGATGCCATGGTCCTTAAACCAGATACAGGTAGCTTGGCACTGTGTGCAGGTGCCAAGTCCTGTTGGAAAATGAAATCTACATCTCTATAAAGTTGGTCAGAAGCATGAAGTGCTCTAAAACTTCTTTGTAGACGACTGCGTTGACCTTGGACCTCAGAAAACACAGTGGACCAACACCAGCAGATGACATGGCACCCCAAACCATCACTGACTGGAAACTCTACACTGGACCTCAAGCAACGTGGATTCTGTGCCTCTCCTCACTTCCTCCAGACTCTGGGACCCTGACTTCCAAAAGAAATGCAAAATTTACTTTCATCAGAGAACATAACTTTGGACCATTCAGCAGCAGTCCTGTCCTTTTTGTCTTTAGCCCATGTAAGACTCTTCTGACGTCTCTAGTTCAAGAGTGGCTTGACACAAGGAATGCGACAGCTGAAACCCTTGTCTTGCATATGTCTGTGCATGGTGGTTCTTGAAGCACTGACTCCAGCCACAGTTCACTCTTTGTGAATTTCCCCCACATTTTGGAATGGGTTTTGTTTCACCATCCTCTCCAGGGTGCAGTTATCTCTATTGCTTGTACACTTTTTTTTTCTACCACATCGTTTCTTTCCCTTCACCTCTCTATTAATGTGCTTGGACACAGAGCTCTGTGAACATTCAGCCTCTTTAGCAATGACCTTTTGTGTCTTGCCCTCCTTGTGTGCAAGGTGTCAATGGTTCTCTTTTGGACAACTGTCAAGTCAGCAGTCTTCCCCATGATTGTGTAGCCTACAGAACTGGACTGAGAGACCATTTAAAGGCCTTTGCAAGTGTTTTGAGTCAATTAGCTGATTAGAGTGTGGCACCATGTGTCTTCAATATTGAACCTTTTTTAATTTTCTGAGAAACTGAATTTTGGGGTTTTCATTAGTTGTCAGTTATAATCATCAACATTAAAAGAAATATACATTTTAACATACACGTTTCACTTTTTGAATGTAATTACTGAAATACATCAATGTTTTCATGATATTCTAATTTTATGACCAGCAACTGAAATTGAAGTTTTGAAACAGAAATTAAGACATTCTACCCATTTTAAGATGTATATTAAGATGTATAAACCATTCAACATGTCTTTATGGAATGTCCTGGGTATGAAACGGCAAGAACACATTTCCAAAAAGAAAGAAATAAAATTAATATTAAATTTACAGTTAGGGAAGTTTTTAGTAGTGGTATAAGTAAAGTTAAAGACCAAATTATTATTTTCTTGAAAAAATACAAACTTAATAGAAAGAATTGAATTGAGTTATTAAATTAATTTCACAGAATTACAATTTGTTTGTTTTGTTTTTCCTGTTGATCTCCGTCCACACTCCAGCTCAGTAGGTGGCGGTAATGCACCTTACAGTTCCTCCTCCATTCACCCTTTGTTAAAATGTCTTGATGACATCAAGACTTGGATGGTCACATACACAAGTAAATAGAATTTATTTATTTTATTTATTTATTTTAAAAAGCATTCTGACCCACACTCCATACCAGTAGGTGGCGGTAATGCGCACCATAAGTTGTTTGCCAACCGCCAATAAAACTGAAGAAGAAGAAGAAGACTTGGATGGCTGCGAACTTCTTGACTTTTAATGATCAGAAGACTGAGGTCATTGTGTTTAACCCTAGCTCTGCCACTGTCACTGATCCTGCAAACCTGCACTCTCTTCAGCCAAATCTAAAACAGTCTGTTACCAATCTCAGGATAGTTTTAGACTCGGACTTTAATAATAAGCAGATAAATTCTGTTCTTCAAAAAAGCTTCTTTCAGCTAAGGCAGATAGCTAAGCTCAAGTCCGTCCTGTCCAGATTTGACCTTGAAAAATGAGTCCATGCATTTATTACAACCCGGCTGGACTACTGTAACTCACTTTATGCTGGGGTCAGTCAGGTCTCTCTCTCTCTCACGTCTCCAGCTCGTCCAAAGTGCTGCAGCTCGGCTACTAACAGGAACTCGCAGCACATTACTCGAGTTCTGTCCTCCCTTCACTGGCTTCCTGTGCGTGTCAGAGTTGGTTTTAAGATTCTTCTGCTGACATTTAAGTGTTTTAATGGCCTTGCACCCTCATACCTCTCCGACCTCCTTCATCCTTATACTCCTTCTCGGGCCTTGAGATCATCAGACCAGTTGCTTTTGGCCGTACTAAAATCCAGGCTGAAGCTCAGAGGAGATCGGGCGTTTTCAGTCATGGGCACTAAACTCTGGAACAAGCTGCCCATCAACATTCGACAGTCCACCTCAGTCTCTATTTTTAAATCTCTCCTCAAAACACATCTGTACTCACTGGCATTTAACACAGTGTGATCTCATTTGGTATTTCGTCGTTGATGATGGTGTTCATCCATTTTGCTTTTACTCCCTGATATTTAACGCAGGGTGATTTGATTTAGTATTTAATTGTTTCTCGTTACATTTTATGCTTTTATTCATGTTGCTGTAATATCTTGTTATTACTATTTGATGCTGAGATCTTTTTTGGTAAGCACTTTGATAACAGTTACTGTTTTAAATGTGCTATATAAATAAATGTGACTTGGCTTACAGTTGGTCTGCCAACCGCCATAAAACAAAAGAAGAAGAAGAAGAAGAAGAAGAAGAATGTTTGCCTTAGATTTTTGCCACTGCCTGACAGACCGAGCTCAGGGCAAACGCGCCCATTACAGCAGAAAAGGGCACTTCCTGGTTGGATGGACCAGCTTCGCTCGGTTGTTTCCCGTAGATGTTACCGAGCTGAAAGTACCGAAACTGTAGTCGTTTTTTAAAAAGCTTTTTCTCTTTATTTAATTAACGAATTAACACCTTATCGAAACTGTGGCGGCAGTAAGAGCGGGCGCAGTTCAGAGCAGCTCCCCGGGTTTCGGTGAGGTTAGCCGGGGTTTAGCTAACACGAACACGGCGGCGGAGCGGACCGGTGGACCTCCGCTTGGTGGTTTTTATCCCCCCAAAACATTGAAACTACGTGGACTTCAAGATCTGTCGACTGAGTTAGGAGACTGAGAGGTGGGTTGCTAAGTAGTTAGAAGTTTTACTTTAAATACAAGATTAAAAAAAAAAAAAAAGATTTTCAGCCATCCAAGTATCCTGAGCTGCTCCTGCTGCCTGAGCGAACTTCCTGGTAGAGATAATTTTAAGTATTAATTTTTTTATTATTAAGAAAATCAACTAAATGAGCGCCGTTTAGCCTTTGCTTGTCATCCTGAAACCAGTTTAATTATTAAAAACAGGCTTTCTGATTCATAACTCCTTTTAAAATTCACTCATGTTAATTAATGATAATTTTGAAGTTATTCTCATATTTCTGTTCCACGGTATCAAATTAACAAAGCAGAGCTGAGTGAATTAGTTGGATTAATACTCTTTTTGAGACATTCTAGGGGATCATTGTTTACTTTTGCAAGACATCACCACATGTACAGATCATTTAAAGCCCAATTAAACGATCACTCCTATATTATAGTATATGCTGCAACAAATATTAGTGTTAATACGCAGTTATTATACAGTCAGTTCAATTCAGTTGTTTTCTAAAGCACCAAGTCACAACAGAAGTTGTCTCAGGACACTGAACAGAAACATTCGCATACATAAAAATTCAATTAGTAACATTATTTATCACAGTTTGATACCTAAAAAGTAATATTTGCAGAATAGAAGACTATTGTTGATCAGCTGTTTTTACAAAGCAAACGCCTGCTGCAATGTCCTGCTGTTTAAAACCACGTGTTTGTATTAATTATGTTGTTTTTACATGTATGACCTATGCAAACATTTAAACCAAGCACACCCTATGGCAACTACACTTCCTGACCACAGCAAACCGGCCTGAACTCCCAGCTTCGTTCACAAAACTGCACAAGATCTGGACTTTAAAAAAAATTACATGCAAAACCTAATGTAGGTAGATGGATGAATATATAATTTATGAAACCCAAGGGAAATTTAAGACACTGAAACCCCATAAAGACCCCCTAAAATAAAATAATGTACCAAACCCAGCACTGTTCGAAGTAGCAACAAAAATAATCTGCTTTTAGCTTTAGGAGAGCTAAATTACCAGTAAAGTGGCTTTAAAATGACACATAACCAGTTAAAGACTGAGATATGTTTCTTGTAACGTTGACCGACATCAAATGTTTAATTTAAACCCAGACTGGAATATTTGGTTTTTGACACTCTGAAGCTTAATTTGATTAATTTACAGTCAGTGCAACATAAAAAAAACTTTAAATTTAAACGGTAAAATAGAAAATTGACATGCTTTACCTTGACTAAATCACATTATTAGTTTTAATTGGTATGTAATGGTGTAAATTATTTTAGTTTCTACAGTTAGGCCTTTTTAATTTTGGGTTCTTTGCTTTTAGACACAACAGAACTTTAATTGAACGCAATAAAAATCGCACATCAGTATTTTACAAAATGCTTTAAGTCTCTTACGCTTCTCTAAATCATACATATTTTGTAATAACATATTTTTTAATTTTATTGTTTTACTTGTTGCCTTCGTATTATTTACACAGAATATTTGATCAGATAGACCGGAGACGGTGGTTGTTTTTGTCTTTTGGTGACTTTTACGTCACCTGTCAGTCATGTTGCTAATCTTGCAGTGTCACCCTTTATTTCCTGGGCAAGTAAAACACTCCAAGGAACAAATTAAATACAGCGACTGTAATAAATTAATGTTTGTAGCATAGACGCTCACATCTATGGACCAGACCAGAATCTTTGCTTTCAGTTGCCGTATTTTAATTAAAGCTGTATTATTTTGCTGTTTGTGGTGCCATCGTTGCTTCACTTCACATTCCAGCGGCAGGCTGTCGAACTACCCGTAAATAATCAACGAGTTTCTGAATGTGAGGCAGCTTGGGGCTACGGGATTTTCTCCCAGGCTGCAGTTTCTCCTCTAACTGGAGCCTTTTTGCTTTGGGTCCGCTCCGTTTGACGGGTGGGATGAGTTTCTGTTTTTGCTCTGGTGGGTTTCTGTTTCATCAAATCATCTTCAGCAGACGGGCTAAGAACTGGGAGTGCTCGATCCTGATGGAGTGAGTCGTTTAAATCCAACCTGCCCGAGTCAAACGATGTGGATCTACTCGAAAATACAATTTTTACAGCGCTCCTGCTCCGGCTGAGTTCAGACATTAATGCCTGCGCCTCCTCACACCTTGGCGTTGGTTTACGTGTTGCCATGCTATTGGATATATTTTATATATTGTTAAAAAGTAAATGACAAAAACAAATGGTGTGGTTGCAATGTTTACAATATGATAGGTTTCTTGTGAACGAGACGCTCATCGTGACTGACGTCTCTTTGTGGCTCGTCAATCTTCAGCTCGACTCGGCTCAATTGGAACTGCGACCTGTAGGTCCAAAGAACCGAGGCTGATTACCCAAAAGAAAGTCTCTAATCCTGCGCTGAGTTGACTTGAGTATACCATGGGCGAGTGAAACCCATGAAAAAGAGCCTTAAATGTGTCGTTTTGGAGGTTTTTGTGAAAACTGATGACTAATGATTACCTTGAAAGTGTACGTTTTTGGGGGAATTAAATGTTCTTAACTGTCCGGATTGTTGGTTAAGCCTTAAATATTGTGGACGCAAAATCAAGATGAGATTGCTTCTAAATTATTCTTGCGGAAAAATGTATTTATCTGGAAATTACAAAGAAACTTTTCTTCTTTGTGTCAGATTTTTATTGTGAGAATGCGTCAAAATTCAACCATCCAATTATCTTTTCAGATAAAAAAAAAACGTTCTGTTTATTCTAGTGTGCCTTATTTGCATATAATCCAGGCCTCTTTTTGAGCATTTTAGTACCTTTTTGAAGTCGCACCATCTTTAATTTCTTTCCTGCACGCGTTTAGACCTGCTGGCTTCTTCATGAGTCTGCAGTCTGCTCACGCTGCAGCCCGCTGTAGTTCAGGACAAACGTTGAGGCTTTAAAGGTCGAACGGGTGAACTACAGTCTCTGAATCCATCAGTAGGCTCCTCTGTTTGTTGGGATGTTTTGTCCTTTGGGATCAGACCAGTCAGTGTTTGTTCTTCCTCCTCAGTATTTACTAGACCTGTCGCGATAAATCAATTAATCGCATCATAAATGAAAATTATCAACCTTGTTTTCATTTATCGGCTTTATCGTTTCTTCGTGTCTCTCTCTTTCTACTGAAGACACTGGATGACAAAAGACTCAACTCCGGTTGACCCTTCCCGTTTTCTTTTTTCTCTTTTCTTTTAAAATCAGTTTAAATCGTCCGAAATCGCGTTTTTGGATCGTTAAAAGCAGCTAGGGCGAGAAGCTAAGCTACGAGCTAAGCTAACAGGCCGGGCGGGGGGGGGGGGAACCTTTGTCTTGTCGAAGCTCCAGAATTCACGGTTGAAACCCGTGCCTTCATGTAAAAAGTTGTTTTTCTCTGTAAAAAGAAGCTGAGAACTTGTTTACTGATTTTTTTTTTTTAATTAAAAGGTTTGTGTGAAAAATGCTATGCTAAGGAACTCAAACCACACCGAGCGTCCGCCATTTTAAGAACCAAAAAAAAAGGGAGAGACAGCCCATGTCACGTCAAGGGGTCTCCCTCCCATTTTTCTTAGAGACACGCTGCTCGCCCCCTCACTATCCATCCTTCGGTTCAGTCTTATACTGCCATCTGGTGGTCAAAAGAAGTTATTACACAAAACAATTACCAACATTTCTTCTTAAGTTTGACAATAATTACTAATTATTGTCAAATTTCAAGCAATATTATCGTTTATCACAATAATTTCTGAGACAATTAATCGCCCAGCAACATTTGTTATCGTGACAGGCCTATTATTAATTTATATTCCGAGACATGTTGCATTATAAAAGCCTGTATTTTTCTAATATCCCTTGAGGACAATTTGGCTACACTGACTTCTAGTTGTTGTGGCACAGACTGGGCTGTAATTGATGTAAAACGAATCCACCAGCAGATGAACAGTTTATGCAGTCTACAGTGTTCTTGGGATCCTAATTCTTTTATCCATCTTCTCTCTTTGCAGTATGCAGTTGGAGCCACGGGTAGCGTAGAATGAAGAGCCCGGCGCACCGCACCAGAGACATCGAGCGGCAGCCCGGCTATCTGAAGCCCGAGCACTGCGTCCCTCCCCCGCCCCGCAGCGGCTCGGACACCATGTGGTTCATCCGCGACGGCTGCGGCATCGCGTGCGGCGTCATCACCTGGCTCCTGGTCGTCTACGCCGAGTTCGTGGTGATGTTCGTGATGCTGCTGCCGGCCAAAAACGTGGTCTACAGCCTCTTCAACGGCGTGCTCTTCAACGGCCTCGCCTTCCTCGCTCTGGCCTCCCACGCCAAGGCCATGTGCACAGACCCGGTCAGTCACATTGAGTGTAGACCCCCAGACACATTCCCAATTAAATCTGTGATCAAACTATTAATTATTGTGTATTTAATCACAGTTTGAGTGATTTAAAAAAACTTTTTTTTTTAGAAGAAGTGGGTAAACGAGCTGGATGTTTTTGTATTTAACGTGCAGGTATTAGTTACAGCGATGACTGCGTTCACTTGGATATGAAAAGACGCCCCATGTCCAGCAATCACTGTGCGAGGGGCGGGGGACACCCTGGAGGTGTCGCAATTCCATCACAGGACACGTTGACAGTCATATCAGCTGCATTTCAAAAGCCGATACGCGAAAATAGCCACGGGAGGACTCGCTGTTCATTTCTTTGAAATTTAACAAGCTAACCACCTAAAAACAATTATTTGTTTGCTCGACATTATATTAAAGGTGTGTCTCAGTTGAACTTTTACTTAATAAATGCACTTTAATGGTCAAATCAGCTGCATTTCGCTGGGGTGGTGCAGCAAAAAAAATTTTTTCATTTTTTTTTCATTTAGCCTTTATTTATACAGGTAGTCTCATTGAGCCACGAGAACTCATTTTCAAGAGAGACCTGTTTTAGGGAGCACATGAAATGAAATGAAGCTGATTTGACATTTGCTCCAGTTGAGCTGGACAAAGGTGGCAGGCTTTGGCAAGCCATTAATAGCCACTTTTACCTATTACATAACACAACGGCATGCCATACTGCTCGAGTGCCATTTAGCAGCTGAAAATGGTCGCGTTCAATATTTTCAGTGTCAGAATGAATGAAAACGGTCAAATCTCAGCATAAGTTGGTTTATAATTATGGGGAAAAAAATCATAAATATGTTGCTTCGGTGTGCAAGTCGCAGAGCATGTAAATTATGTACACAAAAAACCACGACTTACAGGGTGAAAAAAATACAGTATTTATTTGAATTGAAACCCTTGAGGATGTCTGAATTAACCACCACCAATTTTGTTTTTACAATCTGATTCTAATACTTAACGCTGTCATTCACTTGGAGATAAAATACTTTTAGTATTTCAGTTTAAAGCTTTTTAAAGCTCTATTTGCTGTAACTTATTAGATATTTTTACAGGAATATGTTTGATTTAGATTAAAAAAAAAAGGTCTTGTTTATTTTAAGTCAGTTTCATAAATTAGTAGAACTTTCCTCTAAAAATATTAGTCTTTTGAGTTGTTTGTCTTCAAAAAGTTCTCACGGTGGATTTAAAAATGATCCTCGGTGGAAACTTCAATCGTCTCGTTTCACAGGGAGCTGTGCCCAAAGGGAACGCAACCAAAGAATTCATCGAAAGCCTGCAGCTCAAACCAGGACAGGTGGTGTACAAGTGTCCGAAGTGCTGCAGCATCAAGCCTGACAGAGCCCACCACTGCAGGTAGGAGACGTCTCCCTCTGACAACATCTCTAGACTCTCCTCGGGGTGTGTGTGTGTGTGTGTGTGTGTGCAGCTTGATAACAGGGATTCCCTCTGTGGTTGCTCGTGTTTCTCTGGGATTTGGAGGCATGAAAATTGCAACAAAAAACACCCCAGAGTAATTAAATGTTAATGCACTGAGCTGCTAGGCGTTAGACTTTTTTAAAATGATGTGTTTTTGAAGATAAACTACATTAAGACACTTTGATATGTGGATAAATCTCCTTCAGATAGAAAAGACAGACAAACTAAGCACCTGGTGTGAGTTTCTGCTTTATATGATCAATTAAACGTTGTAAAAACCACCGCCCTGCTCCGAGTCTCACATCCGTCGTCTGAAAATGTGGCACGACAGAAAGGACTGACGGGGTTGGTGTTGCTTTTCATCCAGGGAGTGATAAAACGCTCCATGTTCATAAACGGCACATTTTCTAGCTGCAGTTTGTCGTCTTCACTGATCTGTGTCCCCCGCAGTGTTTGTAAACGCTGCATCAGAAAGATGGACCACCACTGTCCCTGGGTGAACAACTGTGTTGGAGAAAACAACCAGAAATACTTTGTGCTCTTCACTGTGAGTCTGAAAAGAAGAAAACTACAAGGAGTAACGGAAACGGCAAAAAGTATTTAATTTACATGAACTGCGTCTCTGCTTTCAGATGTACATCGCGATAATATCCCTTCACGCATTGATGATGGTGGCCTTCCACTTTGTCTTCTGCTTTGAAGCCGACTGGGGAAGTAAGTATTACAGAGGATGAGGATCCACCAAAAGTTGGTGAATTTTCAATAAAAATAAAAAAGATTCCCGTAGATGTGAAATATTGAGCTGACAAAATGCTTTAAATGTGCAGACAGCTGTTTAAAAGTCTTGACATTATCCTCCTCCTTCCTTCATTTGTTGCTTAAATTAACATTTTCCTAATGAGTTGATTTTATCCTTTTGTAGTTTTAAGTGTCTTCCAGCGGAGGGCGAAACTATAAATCTATTTAGAGTAAAATAGACATTCTTTTACAAGTTTTAGAGCTTCCTTGTGATACACAAGTCACTGTTATGTGAGCACACTGCAAATTTGTCCTGTAAGCTTTTTTTTAAAGTTTCTGTGAAAACTTGTGTAAAATCCTAAAGTAAGCAAATACTTCTTGAAATTAGCTTGTATGAATAATACTCAGTTTGGGTAAAGATTTTCTACGTGTTAGAAGTCAAATTTTCTTAGATGAAGCATAAAACATCATAAAATCAGATCAATGAAGGCAGCAAAACACGCATTTAAGAAAATATTTCTTAAGGACCGCAATCTTTGCTTGTAAAAAGTGCTGTTTTCTTTAATTTAAGACAATTTAGTTTAGTTTAAAGGCACACGGTGCTTAGATTCATACGCTAGTTTTAAGAATTTGAGCCAAGAAACATATATTTTTTTCTCAAAACGATAAAATTTGATCACATTTAGGAATATTTGGATTATTTCAAGTAGTGCTGTTTTTGCAGTGCATGAAAATCCAGTTTGTGCAACTTGAACAGCGTCGGCTCTATTTAAACTGCTGTCACACTTTGATTTATTTATTTTAACCATATATCTCTATTCCTACAGCAGATATTTAAAGGATATTTTATTTTCCAGATTAGAAAACTTGACTACCTAAAACAACAGCACCAAGTCCTCACGCCTTAACTCGACCCGTTTCAGGCCTCCGAATGATCAGAGACACGTTTATGATGTCACGAGAACCAAATAATCCCTCAGGTCAGCGTTTTTGCAGACGCTCAAACGGATCCTCTTTCAGCCTCTCGGGTCTTTGTAAAACAGACAAAACAAAGTTTCTTTGACGAAACTGTTATTAAAAGACACCACAGTGATCCAGATGATCATATATGGTCGAGAATCATCAGTGAGGAAGATCTAAAGCTGTATATGTACAGAAAATATCTACTACTAAAGTAAACAGATTATTTATAACCCATAATCTGAGACGTTCAGGCTCCTGATCACAGAGAGCGTCGATGAATCGTGCAAAGCTTGATTTTAATGTGATGACTCTCTACAGAGTGCAGCGGCTTCTCTCCACCGGTGACGGTCGTCCTCCTCATCCTTCTCAGCTTCGAGGGCCTCCTCTTCCTCATCTTCACCGCGGTCATGTTTGGGACTCAGGTCCACTCCATCTGCTCCGACGAGACGGTGAGTGGTCCCATCGTCCCCAAGTTTCTTTTAATCTTACTATTCAGTCAGCTTCATGATATTTTTTTGTACTTTTTGAAGCTTTAAATACATTTTGCTGCATCAGCTGGTTTAGATTTTATGTTTATTGTTTTCCAGGTTTGGTTAAATATGGAAAAACGATAGGATTTCCAAACTTTATTCTATTTTCTACAAGAGAAAAGTCAAAATTTCTGTTCCAAGTGTTTTTTTTAATAAACTAAATTACTCCCAATGGCAGCAGCTATGTGTAGAAAAAAGGATTTTATAAACCCAAAATTAAAAAGATGCTTTATCAGAGCGGATCATTTATTACTAGGAGTGTAACAAGTTGTCTAAGACTCGGTCCTGTACAGTAATGTAGGATTTGTTGAGTGGTGAATTCACTGTAAAATAAAAACGTCACACTTTACTATCTTTTAATCCAATGTGACAAACACCTCCCAATAAAAAGCAAAATAAAAAAATCAAACTTCTCAGCTAGCTGACTGTTAGGTTCAGAAAATAAAGCTGGATATCTGGGATGATGAATACCGTATTTTCTGCCGTACACGTCGCACCGCCCTAATAAGTCGCATCAGTCCAAATATGTTTAACAAAATGGAAAAATCTATAAATATATCGTATATAATATTCGCCGTATCCGTCGTGTTTGTTACGCGTCACCACTGACAAGCCGGAAATGTGGGCCGGTGTTGTGCCAAAAATTGATTGGCTGCCAAATGGAGGCCACGGGAGTGTGCATGCAGGACTTTAACAAGAATTTAACAAGATTCACATTTGAAAACAATTATTTGTTTGCTCAGAATTATAGAAAAGGTGTGTCTCAGTCTAACTTTTCCTCAATAAATGCACTTTGACGGTCAAATCAGCTGAATTTCAAAAGCTGATACGCGGAAGTAGGAACTCTGTGAGGGACGAGTTGCTGTGCGCTTCTTCGAAATTTAACAAGATAGGCACCTAAAAACAATTATTTTTTTGCTTGACTTTACTATAAAGTTGTGGCCCAGTCTAACGTTTGCTAAATAAAAAGGACTTTAAGACGGTCAAATCAGCTGAATTTCAAAAGTATTCGCTGCCTCGGTGCTCCCGGGAGTGTGCAGACATGGAGGAAAAAAGGTGGAGGAACGCTGCGCGTTTCTTGGAAATTTAACAAGAAAAGCACCTAAAAACAATTTTGTTTGCTCGACATTATAGCAAAGGAGTGTCTCAGTTGAACTTTTACTTAATAAATGCACATTAATGGTCAAATTAGCTGCATTTCACGGGGCGGTGCAGTGAAATGAAGCTGAGCTCCAAGCAGCGAGCAGAACGAAGGTGGGAGGCTACGGCAAGCCGATTGTGTCATTAATAGCTGGCAAAGTTTCTCAGTCATCCAGGACACGGTAAATTCAAAAAAGTTCAAGACAAAAACAATAAAGTATATAGTATAATAAATAAAGTCCAGTTGTTTTTGTCTTGAACTTTATTGAATTTGTCATTATGTCACTTTTACGTATTACATGATACAACAGCATACCTTATTGCGCCTACTACTCTGCTGCCATCTAGTGGCTGAAAATGGTACTGTTGAATTTTCTCAGTCAGAATAAATGAAAACGGTCTTCTCTCAGCCAAAAATTGTTTATAAATGTGGGAAAAAATCCATAAATATGTCACTTAAGTGTATAAGTCGCAGGGTATGTAAATTATGCAAAGAACCGCAACTTATAGGGCGAAAAATACGGTAAGTACACGTCTTTCTCGGAGCAGATTTGGTTCTCTGAAGCAGCCATGCTTTCAATGTAGAGCTGTAGAGCCCAGTCCTGGGCCACTATCCTGCAGGTTTTAGTTGTTTTCCTTGTTGTCAGCTGGTCTTCAGGTTCTGCAGAAACCCGGTCTGGTGTGCTCAAAGCAGAGAAGCATCAAACCTGCAGGATAGAGGCCCTGGAGGACCAGGGATGGGCACCACAGAGGGTTTAGTTTTACTCCACTTCTGTTGTAAGAGACGGCATGAAGCATTACAAATATAAACTGAAGGCTATCAAAAGTTGACCCACCTCTAACTGAGCATTTATTTTACTCTAAATGGCGACATCAGTTTACAGAATAAAGTTTGATCAAATTGTAATATTTTTATTAAAAAGGTTCAAATTTTAAAGAAAAAACACGTGTTTTTTTTCTCCTGCCGTTCATTTTTGTACACATTTTTCTTTTCATAGTACTTAATAAAACTCCACAGTCCAAGCCTTCTGTAAATTCACATGAAACGTTTGCACTTTGACATGAGAACTGTCGTTAATCCAGCCACGGTTCTCGTCTAATACGTCTTTTTTTTTCAAGACTTCCCCCGGTAAACGCCTCGTCTCATTTATTGCCGTCGTTTGTAGAGCTAATTGAGCTTTATCCTCGTATTCTGTCCGGATGTGCCCTAAAGTTCACCTCCCTGCAGACCGGCTCCTTTAGATTATTTATAAATTGGTTTGGATTTCCCAAAACGAAACGTAAATGAGGAAAAGGTAGCGCAGTGTAGGAGCAGGTAATCTGCTTCCAGCCCTCTGAGGCGTCCACCCACGAGGATGACTCACGGTGCCGTTATATTCACTACAAACAGCTGTTTCAGTCAGTTTCTGTGAAATGGAGCCTGCAGTCATCTGTTGTGTTGGTGCAGCTTGTCTGAGCGTATTTATATAGATTTGTGTTGCTTTTGTTTAAAGCGAGTGAATCACAAACACCTGATTTATGAAACAAAAAGGATCAATTTCCCCGCTGGCTCATCTGAAGCTGACATGGCATCCTTCCCTCTGCAGGGCATCGAGCAGCTTAAGAAGGAGGAGAGAAGATGGGCCAAAAGGTCCAAATGGATGAACATGAAGGTGGTGTTCGGCCACCCGTTCTCGATAGCTTGGCTCAGCCCGTTCGCGACGCCGGGCCACGGCAAGACGGACGTGTACCAGTATATAGTGTAAATGCTGGAAACTAACCGTGACCTGGACATGACCTCGTTTTAACCACTTGGTTTTCCTTCCTTCATGAATTCTGAACATTTCAGGGGTTCTGTCGCATGTTTTTATGGTTTTCCTTCTTGGTGCTGAATGAGATTAACGAAGTGATCCAGTTGAGCTACGACTCGACGAGAACAGAAGTCACACCAGAAGCTCCTCACGCTGGAGAAATGTCTGCAGTGCGTCTGATCATTTCCTTCTTTTCAACGTTAAATAATGTGAACTGACGTCCAGATTTATTTACTTTTCTTTTGATCCAGAACATAAATACCTGGTTCTGTCTTCCTGTAAACTATTTTTTTTTTGGTTTGTTTTGCTGCAGATTTGCCTTAGAACAGTTCATTAGTAGATTTTTTAAAAAGATGTTTCTATTTATTGCCTTAAAGTGACAGTCCCGGTGATCACAGGTTTAACAGGTGATCGGTGCAGCCTTTTCCGATTGGTGGATTTGTTCCGGTGATTATGTTTTAGGAGTTTTATCCATTTTTCTTTGGCTCCGCCTCCATTTGCAGGCCATAAAATCAGAACAAATCACGTATAAGGAGCATTTGATTTATCTTTTTTTTTTTTTTTTATTATTATTATGTTAAGAAAGATGGTGAAACAATAACCACACTGAGCTATAACCCTTAAAACATTTGTATCGGTGGAGCTGCTGTTGGGATCGTTTCTGGATCAACCAAACAAACAAAAAGTAAAAGAAATCAAAACCCTCAGTTAGTTTGGTGCAGTCTTCAGCTTGTGATTATTAGGGACAGAAATCCTGCCTTCTTCACAGACTGCAGCTCCGTTAAGAGTTGCATCGATGAGATTCTTAAAACAAAAAAACAGAACGCAGTTGGGTTTTTTTTCTGTATTTTTCAGCTTCCTGCGCCTCCTCGCCTGAAAAATTGCAAGATTCTTGTGATTCTTAACCGACCGTGTCGCGGTCGAAACTCCAAACCAAGTAATCTCATCAAAGTGAAACGCTTTTATAAACCGTAGCTTTAGGAGGAATTTATTGTACGACTGAAGTAGAAACACTAAGGCTGAAGTCGGGTAAAGTTCAGACACCTTTGATTGTAACAATCACTCCAGCAGCTGCTTTCGTCATAAATCTTCAAACTTAATTTCGGCGCCGTTGGTGACGAAGTGATAGTTCAGATCTTTTGAACTGATTCAGTGGAAAGGCAATGAAGAAATATCTTACCTGTCCTAGATGGCTCTTTGAGCGGTTTACTAGTTTAACTCTGGCGGGACCGATGAGCTAAAGACTAGTCGGAGCAGGACCAGCCGTCGTCTTAAAACATTTACAATAATAAAAAAAGGTAATCGTGGTGCATGTGAACACAAACTTATTAACAGTATCATTAGTTTTTCTTTACACTGTTAAAATGTTATATTTAAAGCCCGGATGGTAGTGGCAGCTAGCTGTAGCACTTAATATAGTCTTCCATCAGGAATATATTTCTGCTGGGCTAAATGTTTGTAACAGCTTTTGCACAAAGTGTTATGAAGCTAATTTAACGAGGCGATTCACTTTGGTCTTTAGCTGGCTGTTCAAAGAGCTATCTGCAACAGGTAAGATATTCACTGTTCATAACTAACTGATCTGAGCGATTTGATGTTGTTCTTAATCTTCCAGTTCTGCTGATTTTAATCAGCCGATGTCACTAAATGTTTGTTTTTCTCTGCTCGATAACCGTCACCAGCTCAGAGGACAGTGAAACACTCCGCTCTGAATTCGCTGATCCGTGCTGTCGTTTACTTACTCTCAGCTGAGGGAATTTGCTCATAGATAATCCCGTTCATCGCGGTAGTTTTGTGCCTGAAAGTGGTGGGAGAAAAGGCCTCAGAATAAAAGGTTGGGTCACAATCAGACCTGAGAAACTAGAACGTGTTTTGACTTCAGAGCAGGAAAGGCTTCATTTGACCTGTGGTGTTAATGAAATCCACGACTTGAGAGTATTTCACACTGAAATCGCCTTCTCTCACGTTTTTAAACACCTTGCTGTATTCAAAGACGAGAAACATTTGAACAAACGTGTTGCCAAACGGAGCGTTTGAACCGATCGTAGTCGAGGATCACGTTGTCTTAAAGGCGTTTAAATGGTTTTATTTTTGTAAAATTCACCTTTATGTGGAAATGCAGCGGGTTCACGAAACATTTTATGACTCCTTTCTCAAACTGGTCGCGTTTAAATTTGTCAATCTTCTGTATTTTTTTCTATTTGATTGTGCTGTTTGAGGGGAAATCAATAAAACTGTATAAACAATCGTTTTTGCACTTGTTCGGTTATTTCCACAATCCAGATGTGCTTTTATTGAGAAGATGTAAATTAAATAGACGTCTGCTGTGTCCTGTAAAATACCAAAAACACAAAAAGTGCTGCAAAAACTTTGTACTGTAAAAATGAAAAACACAAAAAAGACTCAGAATTTGTATTTTTGTAGGATTTTTTTTTTATGTGTATCCTTGCTGATTTTTTTTTTTTTGGGGTGGCTTGAGAAATATTTTTCACGAGTTCCTTTTATAATTTATAAAATTTATCACTCGATATATAAAGTCTGCAGAAGTAAATTGTTGGAAAAACATAAAGGGTTGAACAATATAATGTTTTAGGTAATTAATGTTTTAATCTATAATTCTGAACATTAGTGAAAACAAATGATTAAAAAGAGATTACCATAATTTCCGGACTATTGAGCGCACCTGAATATAAGCCACGCCCACTAAATTTAAAAAAGAAGAAGCAAACTTGTACATATATAGGTCACACTTGTCTATAAGCCACAGGTCACGCTGCCTTTTGAAACCCGTTGGTAATACAGGATTATTTTTACACCGCTTCACTGTCAGGATCCACTGGCAGACGAGCAAAAGTCGGGGGGAGTTTAAATATTTGTTTACACAGGTAGTTTCACAGAGTCACGAGGACCCACCCCCCAAGAGAGACGTGCATTGGACATCCAAGTGTGACGAGACTAAATGTTTTGGTGACATGAAGCTTGTTAATCTGTCAAAAACAAAACCACAAATAAAATCCATAAATTAGTCTCATTTAAGCCGCAGCGTTCAAAGCGTGTGAAAACAGTAGAGGCTTATAGTCCGGAAATTACGGTAAATCAATTTCTAAATCAAACCAACACTGTGTAAACTCACCGCAGCTTTAATAACTTTCTATCAGCTGTTAAATTTGAAGTCATTTAGCTAGTAAACGGTTTTAAACGACTATAATTAAAAATCAAAACACGACTGGTTGAGCGCTCAAAGCTCGGCACCAGATAAAACTAAATATTAAAGCTCCTCTATTTACAATAAGAATCGTCTTAACTGGTTTAAAAGAGAAAACCCGTCAGTTAAATGATGGAGATGAAACTCTTGGTGATCAGACGAAACGTTTAATGAATTAAATTCTTCCAACATGATAATTTGTTTACAAACAACAGTTTTACATGAACTTTTAGACGTTTTATTAACTCAACAGAGGAACAAGTTCCGACTAAACTGAGGGAGTTTTACAGGATTTATGAACGTCTGAGCTGCTCCAAACTGTCGTCAAAGAGCAGCAGGTGCCACAGAATCCCGCTGACGTCGGGTATGTTGGTGCAACCGCTACGTTTCTGTAGATTCATGCGGTTCACGTGCACGGATGTGTTCTGCTCTGGAGCTCATTGCAAACCGAGGGCCAGTTTCAGTCAGCACGCTAACTCCAGTCAGACTTTTTCATTCAACCTTTATTTACAGGTAAATCCCATTGAGCCCCTCGAGGACTCATTTACTAGAGAGACCTGATGACTTGACACCTTTTCTTGGTTGCAGGCTCCGCATCAAACTCAAACCTTGGCTTCAAAGATGGCCGACTGTCAGGAAAAGTCTGGACTAAATCAAGTACGCTCAGCGAGAAGTGATACTGGAGCTCATGTCGTTTGCCACGACATGAGAGCATCCATCCATTTTCTTTACCTGCTTCTCCTTTCTGCGTGTCAAGGAGCTGGCGTTTGTCTCAATTAGGCCTGTCATGATAAACAATAAATCAATCGCATGATAAATGAAAATTATTGACCTCATTTTCATTTATCGGCTTTATTGTTTCTTCGTGTCTCTCTCTTTCTACTGAAGACACTGGATGACAAAAAGCTCAACTCCGGTGCTCTTCACCGACCCCTCCCTTTCTCTTTAAAATCCGTTTTAACAATCCAAAATCACATTTTTGGATCGTTAAAAGCAGCTAAGCTGAGAAGCTAAGCTACAAGCTAAGCTAACAGGCCGACCTCGGGGGGTGGGGGAACTTCCGTCTTGTTGAAGCATCAAAATTCACGGTTGAAACTCGTGTCTTCGTGTAAAAAGTTGTTTTTCTCTGCAAAAAGAAGCTGAGAACTTGTTTACTGATTTTTTTATAATAATATATATGTATTGTCATAATTGTATGTTTCCATACAATGGCGAAATTGACTCTCTGCATTTAATCCATCCACCACCAGGTGGAGCAGTGGGCAGCTATTGAAAGCACCCAGGGAGCAACTGGGGATAAGGTGTGCTGCTCAAAGACACAGCGAGATGTGCAATGACTGGGGATCAAACCTGGGACCTTCGGGTCCCGAGTCGGCAGCCCAAGCTTTGTGTGACAAATGCTATGCTAAAGAGCTCAAACCACACCGAGCGTCTGCCATTTTGAGAACTGAAAAAAGAAAGGAGAGCCAGTTCATGTCGCATCAAGGGGCCTCCCTCCCATTTTTCTTAGAGACACGCTGCTCGCTCCCTCTCTATCCATCCTTTGGGTCAAACAGTCTTATACTGCCATCCGGTGGTCAAAAAAAGGTACTACACACAAAACAAATTAACCAACATTTATTCTTAAATTTGACAATAATTACTAATTATTGTCAAATTTCAAACAATATTATCGTTTATCGCAATAATTTCTGAGACAATCGCCCAGCAAAATTTGTTATCGTGACAGGCCTAGTCTCAATGTCATCGTGTGAGAGGCAGGGGACACCCTGGACATGTCTCCAGTCCAGCACAGGGACACAGAGACAACCATTCACTCATTCACAATGTAGTGACCCAGTGAAGCTAACATTCATGTTTTTGGTCCCGAGTACACGGAGAAAAGTCACGTGTGCATGAGAACATGCTACCATCTAGCTGTGAGGCCACTGCTCCACCGTGCCACCCAATAAGATCAGTCATATTTTTGGAGCAAATTAAAGGTTGCCTCAGTCATTAAGTGACCGTTTAACAAGAACCTTAAACCAGGAGGCAGGGCGGACGGTGGATTAAAAATGCTGTGAAATGTCCCTTTAAGCCGAATAACATCGTCCCCCACAGTGGTGCTCAAGGATTTCAGTCTTCAACCCACAAAATAAATCATTAACATTACATTTGATGCATTCATGACCAGCTTTTCTGTAACAAATAAAGTTAAACATGCCATTAAAAATCATTTATGTCTTTTGATTTCTGTAAAGCTTAAACGGCCCCTTCTTGGGGTTTCCAGACGCCAACTTTAGGAGCCACTAATCTAACAGAGTCACATTATCAGGGATTAATGCTACACAACAGGAGCTGGGTGCGTTTGTTGCTGTGGGATTTGACAGCCATGTATTCATAAACCATTTTAACATTTAAAAGGCTCTGACTGGTCATAAAGCAGGTACAGAAAACAGCTGGATGGACAGAGATTTGGAGTTACTGCAGCCAGACGTCAAACCCAGAGATGTTCATGAAACGTCAACAAAGTGGAAACGGTTCACAGGTTCTCGCTCCGACATGGACTGCTGCTCCAAGAGACTTTGGTGGGATTTATTCAGCCATGTTGTAAAAACATGCAAGTTTAACTGAAGAGCAGCTGCCAAAGGATCATAACCGTATCTGATGCAGTAAAAATAATCAAGCACAAAAAAGGATGAATAAAGTAAAGCGAAGCCTTAAAATGGCTGAGGCTTTCAGCGCTACATCAGAACAGTTCTTTATAAAAATACCGTCTTTTTCAGACTATAAGGTGCACTTAAAATCCTTTAATTTTCTCAAAAATCTATGGTGCGCCTTATGTATTAATTCTGGTTGTGCTTATTGACCTCAAACCAATTTTATTATTATTATTTTATTTGATGGATTTGTGGAAGAGGAATTAACTGAAAAAGCGAGTGTATTTTGTATTTAATGTGTTACAACTAAACAGTGTTGAGAGTTATTGTGAATGAGGTGAATAAAGTTCAACTTATCTGACTGTTCAGTTTCGCTTAATGCGCCTTATAGTCCGAAAAATACGGTAAACTTTGGAGAGCTGAGCTCCGTTCTTTAGAGCAGCATTTAAAATAACATAGTGTCATAAAATGAAGAAAAGCTGCTCGTGTTCAAAACCATAGAAAAAAAAACAAAATATGTAATTAATAAGGTTGCCCCTTAAAATGACTGATTTCTTCCCTTAACCTTTGACCTCTCTCCTGCGGTTTTATGATCTCAGCTGCTAGTTCCAGTTTCTCTGCGTTCGTCTGGCGAGTTAAAGCCTCTCTTCGAGTGAAAGGACGGCAGCGCGGCCGTTTTGAGAATCGCTCGCCGCGGCTTATTTCTTTCAAAATGCTGAGCTCAAAACTTTAAACAGCAGTCCGGAAGACAACGCATGAGCTCACGTTCATGTTTTATACAGTTTATGTAGCTACTTGTATTTTTAATAGTCTCCTGACGGGGCAACAGGTGAGGTGTTACAGAGGAGTTTGTTGCCTTAATTAGAAGTAGGCCTGTCGCAATAAACAAATCAATTAATCGCATGATAAATGAAGATTATCAACCTCCTTTTCATTTTTCGGCTTTATCGTTTCTTCGTGTCTCTCTCTTTCTATTGGACACTGGATGACAAAAGATTCAACTCCGGTGCTCTTCACTGACCCTTCCCTTTCTCTTTTCTTTAAAATCTGTTTTAACGATCCGAAATCGCGTTTTTGGATCGTTAAAAGCAGCTAAACTGAGAAGCTAAGCTACGAGCTAAGCTAACTGGCTGACCTTGGGGGAAAAAACTCCCTCTTGTCGACTGCCTCCAGTGGTTAAAAAAGGTACTACACAAAAATTAATCAACACGTCTTCTTAAATTTGACAATTATTAATTGTCAAATTTCAAACAATATTATCGTTTATCGCAATATTTTCTGAGACAATTAATCGCCCAGCAAAATTTGTTATCGTGACAGGCCTAATTATAAGGATTAAAAATGACAGAATATTTGGAGTGATTCTTTTGTCTTTAAATAATCTACGCTACGCTGTTGACAAGGCAGAGCTGTTGGTGTGCAGCTCACTAGTGTTGACTACAGTGCAAGAGTGACTCACAGCAGGGGGTGTATTTCTTGACACAACACCGGCTGACCTCAAAGGAGCAGGTTGTAGTGCAAACTTTTTAGAGCACAATATATTTTCAGAGAAAACTCCAAAGCCCTAAATCCTATTTTTAGAGCCTCTTTTATTAATATGCATTGATTCAATAGGAAACTTTAGTATTTTTTTCTTATATCAGACTTTTTTTTTCTTATAAAAGCTGACTGTTTAATCCAGCATCACAGAGTTCATGCTGACTGGGCTGAAGTGTTGCTACGGTTAACTTGAAGTGCAACGAAGGGTGCGCATGTGAAACAGGAGCAAATGTGTTAAAATATTCAGGTGAGCCCGACTGCCCTGCTAGCTTTACTTCTGAAATGTGTTCAGTCGAGGCCAAACTCACTGACCCGATGATGTCATCACTAGTTGCCCGTGTCGTCTTGTAGCGATGTAAATATGAGCAGCGGGTTGCGTAATACAACAGTTGTTTATTTAACCCCCTAGAATCTAAATTATTGTAGATCTTTTTTTTTTTAACCAAACTGCAATTATGTTTGAATATTAAACATTTATACGTACGAAACTCATAAATCTGCTTCATAAATTCACCCCCAATCCTAAAGATTGGCGCTGAAAGCCCCTTTGAGGTCCACCTCTTAATTAAATATCAAATAAGGGGGAGTCAGCCATGTTTAAAACTAACATGCTGCTAGTTTTTTTTATTTTTATTTTGGGGGGGCGCTTTGAGCTCCCCCAAACAGTGTGAACTCGCACGACCCTAAACAGTGATGGTGAATCCTCCAGATTTAAAACAAACTCAATATCAAAATACTGAGTTAAAAAAAACTTGAATGAAATCTGATTTATTTTGTATTAATTTTTAACGATGTCATTCAGGCATGCATGTTTTCCGACATGCATCAGGGGGGTGCTGCAGCGCCTTCCACACCCCTACTTAAAACCCCTACAATTCCCCATTTGTTCATTTTTTGTGCTGTAGTTGCCTGATTACCGGAGAGTAACATAAAGCTAAAGTAACGCCTGCCTCTCGGCGAACTTCTCGACAAAGACTACTTCAGAGCTCGTGAGAAGCTAAACTTTAGCTTTTCTCTACGAGTCGGACTGTAGCTGTGCAGAGGCCGGACTGGCTCCACTTCCTTCGGCTGCACCACCAGGGTTTTATATGAAAACTGCCGAACCATCGGGGAATAATTTAACGAGACTGGAAGACAATGGCAAATTAATTTTGTTCTTTCGCCGCAGAGTTAAGAGCTTATCGTATTACACTCAGCGGCTGTTTTCAGATTTTACTCGTTTTTGGCTCCGTGTGAAATCAGAGGAGGTGCTAGCCGAAGCGCGACACAAGGAGACGAGTTATTCGTCCTTTGCATGGACTGCGTTCTGGCGTCGATCCTGCGGCGAAACCCTCTGCAGGACCAAGAGACCAGAGAAGGTCAGAGAGATCCCAACCCACCACAGTGTTATCTGGGGCTCCCCGAAGAGCAGCTGGCCCAGGAAAGCCTGAATCAGAAGGACAAATGAAAGTAATAAACAGCCAACCTGAGATAAAGAGTTAAAATAAGATCTTATTTCTGAATATAATTTAGCCTACTTTCTAAAATAGGCCATTATATAAAACGTCATTTAAATTAATTTAATCCCAACAGTCTTTCATAAGGACTTCCAACGTGGGAACCTGTAGGTCTACTTACGGAAGATATGAAGTTGGAGGCAGTGGTGGTCACAGTGGTCCGGGTGGAGGAAGAGGAGTACCTGAGAGCTTTGGCGAGGAAGGTCCACATCACAGCGTTGCAGGTGAAAAGAAGTCCGCCACACAGCAGCCTCAGAGGGATGTGGAGCTGGAAACAATAAAAACAACTTGATTTGTGCACATCCGGTTTAAGATACAAACTCATTTAGACAGTCGTTGATGGTGCGTATGGAGGATCATGGGAGATGTAGTTTAACCCTACAGTAAATGATCGACTGAGAGTTCTTAAATTTGGACACTTTGTTGGTTCAGCTTGAGCAGGGAGGTCAGGCATCTCTTTCCACAGTCACCTCTTCCAGCTCTTCTCTGAGGGACTCCAAGACGTTCCCAGGGCAGCCAAGAGACGGTCTCTTGTGTCCTGGGTCTAGACACAATGCAGGTCTCCTCCAAGTTGGACATGTCTGGAGCACCTCCCTGTGGCCTCACAGGAGGCATCTTTACCAGATGACCAAACCATCTCCACTGGCTCTTCTTACTGTGGAGGAGCTGTGGCTCTACTCAGAGTCTCGTCTATATAAAGGCAGCTTCCATTGTCAAAGTAAGAGGTTGTAAATAGTTAAATCATAAGGCAGGTGCTGGGGCTAATCCTGGTGATTTTAATGAGCACGTGGTTTTAACGGTTAGGGATAGGTAAAGGTTAGGGTCAGGGTTGGTCTACTACAGAAATGAATGGAAGTCAATACACGGTCCCTATAAGTATAGATACAGTGAGTGTGTGTATGAAAAGATCACGAGCTGCAGCGTCCTTCAGCACGAGGACACGGAGGGACAGAGCAGCTGCGTGTGTGGTGCTGATGCTGATGAGGGAGTCAGGGATGCGGAGGACGGTCCAGCTTCACCCCCAGACGTCCTAACTGCGCTAATAATTGAGCCAACTTTGACTCACCCGGTCGCAGGCTGTAGTTTCGTCCTCTTGTCTGAATTTCCTCTGCTCCCCCCACGTCCGGAGTCCGGTTTCACAGACCCCCTTCAGGTAGTCGGCTCCGAGGGACAGTTTGGCCGACGACGACGCCACGGCTCCGAGGAAACCCGCCAGCAATGCATAGAAGACTCCCGGGAACATGATGGCGACAGCTGCCGAGGCACATTATCCTCTACTCCATTTTGTTTCGGGTTTGTTCTTACATGACTGCTGCTGGAGGTCCTGGTTCCGCTGCCTGGATGTCGCTGAGCACATTTTCCTGCACTTTCCGTCGACAGCCGTCCGGTGGCAGTCACACAGCGCTGCCTGGCTCAGAGGGATTCTGGGAAATGTAGTTCTTACACCTTATTACCTAGCTTGACTCGTTTCGTGCTAAAGAAGCAAGTTGGTTATTAATTAATTAATTTATTAATTGTGAAATACTAACTCATTTTTATGGTTTATGATCCTAATAATCTCAAATGATATCTCCTAATTATGACTTAGCATCTCAAAATAATGAGAGAGATACCATCTCAAAACAGACTCATGCCCTCTCATTGTCTCATCAGTGTTTTTATAGCATTTCATAATTCTAAGATAGTATCTCATACGTATGAGAAGTTGTCTTAATTATGATGAAAATTATATGTTAAGTCTGCTATCATAATTTCTTATGAGATGCAACCTGCTATGTCATAATTAGGACTTAGTATCTCAAAATGATGATAAACTACCGCAAAACTATAATTTATGCTATCTTATTATCTCATAATTGGGTTTTAGAAAGTCATAATAGTCATAATATTGAGATAGTAGCTCATAAATATGAGCCATCAATGATTAATTAAGACACTAAGTCTGCTATCTCATAAGTTCCTAGATACCTTCGCATAATTATGAAATATCTCAAAATAGTAAAATAAATTATCTAGTAATTATGACTTAGCATCTCAAAAAAATGAGATACTATCTCAAAACAGATTCATGCCATCTCATTACATATCTAATTATTGTTTTTTTTAGCATTTCATAATTCTAAAATAGTATCTCATAAATATGAGAAGTTCAATCTTAATTATGAGGAAAATTATATGTTTATCTGCTATCATCATTTCTTATGAGATGCAATCTTAAAATTAAATAATTTTTCATGATCAACCAGCTATCTCATAATTAGAACTTAGCATCTCAAAATGATGATTTACTATCTCAAAACTATAATTTATACTATCTTATTATCTTATAATTGGGTTTTAGAAATTCATAATATTGAGATAGCTCATAAATATGAAAAATTGATAAATAATTATGAGATAATATGATAAGTATACAATCTCATAATTATGAAATATTATCTTAAGATTGTAAAATAAATTATCTAATAATTATGACTTAGCATCTCATGAGATACTATCTCAAAACAGATTCATGTCATCTGATTATGTATCTTATTAGTGTTTTTAAAGCATTTTTTAGCATTTCATAATTCTAAGATAGTAGTATCTCATAAATATGAGAAGTTAAATCTTAATTATGAGGAAAATGATATGTTAAGTCTGCTATCTCATAATTTCTTATGAGATGTGATCTAAAAATGTAATTAAAGTTTCTCATGATCAGCCCGCTATCTCATAATTAGGACTTAGCATCTCAAATGATGATAAACTATCTCAAAACTATAAATCATTCTATGTCATCTCATGTGTTTATAATTTCATAATTTTGAAACTGTAGCCTTTAAATATGAGAAGTGAATATATAATTGAGATAAGATGTTAAGCCTGCTATCCTGTAATTTCCTATGAGATACAATCTCATAATTATGAAATATCTCATGACTGTAAAAATAACAATTTCTCTATATCATAATTATGACTTAGCATCTCATAATAATGAAATAATATCTGACTCATACTATCTTATAATTATGATGTAGCATCTTAAAAGTATGAGATTCTATTTTATACTTATATGGTATGATATTATATTTAGATGCGATTTCAGAAATATGAGATTATAAGTCTTAATTATAAGATGCTTTACATTTAAGACCCGCCCAAAGACATTTAAGCTTATTTTTTATTTTATATTAGCGTTTTTGAGCACAACATTTATACTGCATAGAGTTTCTTCATATGATTATTAGGTGGAGTAGCACACGATCAATGCTAATGTAATGTGGTTTAGTGTAAGTGCTTGATCTCAACTGCGTGAGCTGGAGAGACAAACATCTGCATGCTTTCAGTGCGCAGATGTTATGCAGCATATTGCGGATTACATAAAACTAGTTATAAATGTAGTGAATTAGACAGGGATGACCCTCCTGTACTCTTTACAGAGAAATTAACCTGCCAGGGAGATTGAACCAGAATGATTGCCCTGTTGTGAATATAGATACTAGAACAGTGAATTTATAGGTTTTAATGAGTTTATTGGTTGCAATAAAGTCTAGAGCTATCAATAAAAGATGTCAATCTCTTCTTCACTCTGCAGGTGAACTCATATTGCCTGTGCATGTCACACAGTCTACAGTTTTTATCCTTTAACCCCAAACAATGTACACTGTAGAAAATGCAAACAAAAGAAATGGGACAATAAATTTATTTTATTAAAATAAAAATAAATAAGTGAAAAAATAAAGGACTGATGATTTCTGAACATAAACAATTTAAAAAAGAATTGATTTAAAATAGACCATACAGTTAATACAGTTTTCATAATTCACACAGTATTTAAATACTTAATGGGGCGGCGGTGGCTGAGTGGTTAGAGCAGTCATCCTCCAATGCAAGAGTTGGGAGTTCGATTCCACCAGCAGTCACATGCCAAAGTGTCCCTGGGCAAGACACTGAACCCCTCATTGCTTCAGATGTGTGTCCCATCGGTGTATGAATGTGATAAAGCTCTGATTAATCTTTGTAGAGATCTAGTAGAGTGCTGTGAGAATGGGTAAATGAGGGCACAGATTGTAGTGTGAAGCACTTTGTAAAGTAGAAAGGCACTAAATAAGTACAGTCCATGCAATTTAAATATATATATATAAAATAAAAGCAGACACACAACAGGGTAAGGAAACAAAATTGTATAAATTGTCTACAGCAAACCAACATAAATTACTTTTCCTATACTAGACTAGAAGCTGGTTAGCCCTCGTTTTCTATCTGCAACTGTCTGTTTTATGATTGTAGATATGTCCTTCTTTTACCGTCATTGTGAGCAATACATATCAGACCCAGATACCAAAGCAGTGAAAATATATTTACTTATTGTTAATTTATTGATTAACTGGTAATTATATCCGTGGGCAGCACGGTGGCGCAACTGGTAGAGCTGCTGCCTCTCAGCGAGCAGGTTCCTGGTTCAAACCCCGGTCCAGGGGCCTTTCTGGGTGGAGTTTGCATGTTCTCTCCGTGCATGCGTGGGTTTTCTCCGGCTACTCCGGTTTCCTCCCACAGTCCAAAAACATGCATGTTAGGCTGATTGGTAACTCTAAATTGTCCCTAGGTGTGAGTGAGAGAGTGAATGTTTGTTTGTCTCGTTTGTCTCTATGTGTCCCTGTGATGGACTTGCGACCCATCCAGGGTGTACCCCGCCCCTCGCACAGTGATTGCTGGACATGGGCACCGGCGACCCCCATGACCCAAAATGGAATAAACGGGTAAAGAAAATGGATGGATGGATGGATGGGTAATTATATCCAATATTTGGCTTTAAGATTAAAACACAACTCATAGCTGAACATTTTGAGGTACAATTTCTGTTCCAGTCAGCAGATGTCACTATGGTCCTTTAGGTACAAGTACATGAAATATACTGCTGTAATGTAAACCATAGAGATATACATTCTCTGTAACTTTATAAACTATACCATTTTATAAATGTTATTAAAGTTTATTCTTGCAACCTGCATACAATGAAGCAAATTTACACAGCAGCTGTGATTAAGAAACCGTTTCACCTCTTGATGTTTTAACGACTAATTGCCACAACTATAGTAAATATACATTTCTAGTTTAATATTTGAGATAAATAAAGAAATGGATATTATCATGACATTTTTTTAACATACACCTTTGTCACCTTATTAAAATTTTAATGAAAATCGGAAATCTTGAGGAAAATTTGAGGCACCAAGACAAGAGTAATAAAACGGAGCTAATAAAGAATATTGTTCTGGTGGTTTATCTGCAGATGCTTTTTTATTTCTGTGACAGAGGTTAATAGAGTGCAGGGCAATGATAACTTGTTGGAGAAACAGAGTATTGTCTGCTCTGCTCCAAGGAGACAACTGTCCTCAACTCTCCATGTTTTGACTCTGTTATATTTCAGGAGTGTGCTTAACAGGAAACATTAGAAATCAAGTGGGGCCATTAGCTGTAATCTCCTCACTTGGAGTTTCCAGCCCGAGGCTCCTCTGACAAACACAAGTGTCAAGTCAGGACACTAATTGGGGTCCATCTCTTGCTCGATCGAGCGATAATTGAACCCGTGGAGAGCGATCATGGCATTTCAGCTCAAGGTCCGTCACCGACTTCTTGTGTCTTTGTCCAACTTTTGTGCTCCGGGTCCTCGAGGTGATTAAAAAAAAAAAGACTTTCACTGATAGCGGGTTTGTTAGGGTGATGACTTTTCTGACCTGTAGGCCTGTCATTTGGCACATCATCTCAACTTGTTTCGCAGTGATAGCCGGAAGATAAAGTCAAAAGGTAAAAAGTAAAATAAAAAATGGGTGTTTTCTTAACATTCTTAACTTCAATAGAAAAGATTAAGAGTTCTAAGAATGATTTTATGAGGAAGTACAAGGATAAAAATTGAGCTACTAATATTCCAAACTGTGAATTACATAAAGGCATTCTGGGAATTGAATTGTTTTTTTTAATCCCAAAGGATTGAATTTGTATTTTTTGCACTTTCTGCCCAAGGCGACAATGCTTATGTTTCAGTGTGTGTCCATTTGTCTGTGGAGTTAGCACAATATCTCATTAACCAGTGGACAGATTTTAATGAAAGAAGTAATCACTGGATGTGCATCAACAACTCATCATCCAAATTAAAGATGGCCGCCATAGATGATGGACTTTGTCCAGCACAAAAATGGCTACACGTCAATAAATTTTACCAATATTGATTTAAAACCTGGTGTAGCAGCTGAGAGTCATCCTCATTACATTCTCTAAGCGCTAACACATAAGATCTCACAATATTTAATGAGATCAAGTTTAATGTAATTTACGAGGTTTGACCAATATGGCTAAGACTTTGT